GGAGGGGGTAAAGGAGGTTTTGTGTGCGAGGGGCTTGGACTTCCAGCAGGCATGCGTGAGCGTGTTTGATAGGAGTGAATGGAGACAAATGGTTTTTAATACTTGACATGCTGTTGGAGTGTGAGCAAAGTAACATTTATGAAGGGGTTCAGGGAAACCGGCAGGCCGGACTTGAGTCCTGGAGATGGGGAGTACAGTGCCTGCACTCTGAAGGAGGGGTGTTAATGTTGCAGTTTAAAAACTGTAGTGTAAAGCACCCTTCTGGCAAGACAGTGATGGAGTGAATGATGGTGAAAGTTTTTCTTTTTTGGGCCACCCTGCCTTGGTGGGAATCGGCCAGTGTGATAATAAAAAAAAATAAGTATCCTTGGGTTATGTATATCATCACTATCTTTGGTGTCATTCAGCCTTGTTGTTAACTGTTACTTTGCACCATTCAGCTTAGTCCCAGTAGAAGTTTTTTCTGCATTTTGTCTTTATAACTACAGTGGAACCTCTACTTACAAGTGCATCCGCGAGCAGCTGCTTAGTCGATCTTTTGCTTCCAGACATGAGCAAAATTTCCAGATGCGAGCAGGCCTCAAGGGAGGTTAATTGACACTGGTGAGGGGGCTCTTGCTCTTGATCTAGGGAATTGGATCTCAGTTGTTTGTTGGACTATCTTATTGAAACTTGGGCAATGTATGATGAAAAGATGCTTCTTAACATACACCAGAAATGAAAGAAATCGGACCATAAATAACGGAGTTCACTTCTCAGCCATTAGCCTTCCCTTAGTGGTATATTTTCCTATGGTTTTTATGGTTGTATTCTCGTTTTATTTGGTCCCATGTGATAGAATGGAAGATATACTACAAAAATAAATATGATTTTAATTGGTTTCATGATGAAAAGTACCTTGAAATTGAGCTCAAAATAGCAGAAATGTTCGATTCTTTGGCGACATCAGTAGTAGATATCATGAGGTAGCAGTGGCAGACAACATGAAGCAACAGTGGCAGACAACATGAAGCAACAGTGGCAGACATCATGAGGTAGCAGTGGCAGACATCATGAGGTAGCAGTGGCAGACAACATGAAGCAGCAGTGGCAGACATCATGAGGTAGCAGTGGGCAGACAACATGAAGCAGCAGTGGCAGACAACATGAGGTAGCAGTGGCAGACAATATGAAGCAGCAGTGACAGACAACATGAAGCAGCTTTGGCAGACAACATGAAGCAGCAGTGGCAGACAACATGAAGCAGCAGTGGAAGACATCATGAGGAAGCAGTGGCAGACAATATGAAGTAGCAGTGGCAGACATCATGAGGTAGCAGTGACAGACAACATGAAGCAGCAGTGGGAAAGTGTAGCAATTAAGTGAAGCATTAAGAGTGTAGCACTTATAAGTCACTCTGTCTGACTTTTTTGGGTTATCCTACCTAGGTTCTCTCCACATGTAGTCAGGAGCAGGAATGGCTGCTGTGGTGGCCCTATAAACCCCAACAAAAATGGCTGCTGTCACCACCACTAGCCACATACCTAATATTACAAAAAAGTAATTTTTAAATGAAGAGAGATATGGTAAGATTTACTACTTTTGTAATAAAGAGTTCGGGATACATAAATACACACATTAATAAATTAATCTTTAATATATAAAAATCAACTATCTTTGGTCTAGAGGTATTTGAACTATGATATAATAATAATATGTACATGTTACTATAATAAATTATAATTAGCATCTAACTAAAATAGTAAATAATTCATAATCCTACACAGGGTACCACTTTGACACTACTGTCACTATATATATATATCTCTATACTAAAATAATAAATTATAAATAACATTTGTATAATAAATTACAATCAACTGCTTCTCACGACACGAGGCCAGTCACACGATACTATTCAGTGTACTACAACCAGGCCATCTTCAGTGTCCCACGACACCCTTTTCATCTCAGTGTTCCACTACGGTCCTGTGCATATCTCAGTGTTCCACTCCATCATACGTTCCTAAGTGTCACACTACGGTCCTGGCCCAGTTCAGTGTAACACTCCAACCTTTTCTTCATGTAATGTCCCACCAAACTAGCATCTGATGATTCGGCCACAGTTGATCAAAGTAGATGGTGGTCACAGACATCACCGGTATCCATTAAATCCTTCCAAGGCGGTTGACACACCTGCTAGCCGAACACAGCTGCAAGCTCATGATATGCGGGCCGTCAAACTGAGGCAACAGACATCAGTGAGCGCGGGCAGCGTCTCTAACGCAGAGAAGGTACGATTCGGTGGTCAGGTACTACATGCATAGACGTGTACCCTGAGAGCAGCAGTACTAAATTTGAAGCCAGTTGAGTAACCTTAAGGCGTGGCAGCTACCTACGCTTGGGAGCTACTGGAAGCGTCAGTACATATTTACTAGCAAGTGCAGACTTACCTTAGGTGCAGTGACGAAACATGACTTAGATGTGCAAAGTGAGCACTAGGAACATTAAGTGTAACTGAGCACTCAGCGTCCCCTTTTTGGGTTTGACTAGTACCCATGTGTCCGGCCAGGAAGTACTATTTGACGCTAGTTAGCCAAAGGGGCGCGAACACCAAGACATATTTAATTCATTAGTTATATTATCATGTTTCTATGTTATTAATATTGTTTATTATGTCATATTACATGAATTGCGATAGATAAATAAGCTGAAGAGTTGATATTAGAGAAATTATTAAAGTAGTATTTTCTCGTACCTGGAATTCCAGTGGAACGAATTAATTCCATTTCAGTTAATTTAAATGAGGAAAATTGACTCTGCAAATGATCAAATCTAGTTGCGAGCAAGGTCATGGAACGGATTAAACTTGTAAGTAGAGGTTCCACTGTATGAGTCACTCTGCCTCAGTGGGAAATGGCCGACATGTTAAAAAAAAAAAAAAACTACATCCAGCCACTTGCATTTCTTACAACATAACTTTCACTCTAAAGTTTGAGTCCCTATGCACCACCTTGTAGTAGTTCCCCCTGCAACAGCATTTACTGTGAAAGACAGGCAGTAAGCTGACATGAAATAAATTAAGTGACACATAGACGGAGCAAGTCTTTATTAACAATGTTTTCCTCACTGAAAGCTGTATCGAATAGCTTGGGAAAGCTTTCACTGTGTGCAAGTTTTTTAATTAAGGATTGCTCTGTCTATATTCTTTTATTTACATTTCTTATTAAAACAGTCATTATCCCTTTCCTTATAACCCTTACATGTTAAAATACCTTCCTTTCTTGGTGACTCATGCTAGTACACCTGTTGTAACATTTATTCCACTAAATTTCTTATGTACTGCTTTTTGTTTTTTTCAAGACACTGGCTATCTCCCACTGAGATAGGGTGATCTGAAAACAAAACACCTTTACCATCATTCACTCCATCACTGTCTTTTCAGAGGCATGCTGATACTACAGTTCAGATGCCCCTCCAAACTGCAAATATCTCCACCCCTCCTTCAGGGTGCAGATACTGTACTCCTACCTCCAGAACTTACCTGGCTCACACTCCAATAGCTTGTTAAGTCCCAAAAGCCACTTGCCTCCACTCATCCCTATCCAACATGTTTATACATGCCTGCTGGATGTCCAAGCCCCTCTCCCTCCTACCTTTCCAAGGGTGACCCCTATCTGACTTCCTCTCGCTACAGATTTATACAACCTCCAAGTCATCCTGTTTTCTTCCTTCCTCTCTAAATGTCCAAACCATCTCAACAACCCCTCCCCAGTCCTCTGGATAATACTTCTAGTAACTGTACTTCCTCCTGATCTCCAATCTCTAAATTCTCTGAATATTTACACCACACATTGCCCTCTGTCATGACATCTCCACTGTCTCCAGCTTCCTCCTCGCTGCAACATTCTAAACCCATGCTTCACACCCATATAAGAATGTTGGTACCACTATACTCACATACATTCCTCCTTTTTACCTCCTTGGATAACATAATTTGTCTCCACAGATGCCTCAGTGCACCACCCACCTTTTTTTCTTCATCAGTTCAAAGGTTCACCTTCTTTCATATATCCATCTGCCAACAAGTACCTGGACACATTCACTTCCTCCATACTCTCTCCTTCCAATCTGATATCCAATCCTTCATTACCTAACTCGTTTGTTACCCTCATCACATTGTTCTTTCCTGTGTTCACTTTTAATTTCCTTCCTTTACATACCTTCCCCGATATGTCCACCAACCTTTGGAACTCCTCTTCAGAATCAATCAATCAATCAAGTTTATTCTCTATAAGGATTACAATGTGGGGTTTACAGATTTTGGTTATTGTGTGGTTTACATGTAATAAAATACTAATTACAGAGGGGTCACTAGGACACCTAGCATGGCTAGTATCATCAACATAATGTAACTGACAGCTCCCATTTTGTTTTAGATTCTGTACATTTTAATCCCACACCTCTCCCTAATGCCCTAGTATTCACCTCTTTTCCAACCCCATCCATAAATATGTTAAACAACCAGGGTGACATCATGCATCCCTTTCTAAGGCCTTCTTTTACTGGAAAATGATCTCCCTCTCCCTATATTTCCTTATATCTTACCCTAACTACCTCCTACTCTAGTTTATATACTTTCACCTCTCTCTTACTTGCTGATACTATTTTCCTTGTACCTTATCTACCTCTTACTCTCACTGTAGCTACAACTAAATAATGATTTGATATATCTGTTGCCCCTCTATCAGCATGCACATCCAGAAATCTACCCATCAACCTTTTATCCACCAATACTGTTTTATAATTGAATATTAATGCATGTGCCTTTTTTTCCTAAAATCTCTATGCAGTAGTGGTTTTGAGAATTTTATTATTTTTTTTATAAACCTTATATCTCCCAACTACAATTTGTCACATTTTCAATTCTTCTAGACATTGTTAAAAAATTAACACTGGAACATTTTTGCATGTACTGTACTGTATTTTTAATATTTAACACAAGTTTGCTTTCTTTTCAGTATAAAACTAAAAGTCATACTGGAAGGTGATGAAGAGCAGAGTGGATGAATTATTTCATCTTGAGTATGCAGCCCGTCCTCTTAAGCAACAGTTATAATTCCGACTGTTCATAAGCAGTCAGTTTTTGCACCTAAAACTTTTAGCCATTTCCTTTTAACAGCAAATTTCAAATTAAAATTTGGTTAGGCTAGATGCAGTAAGGTTAAACTGTTGTTTATCAATCAAAAGTAACCAAATATAAGATAACACAGTACCATGAAATGAAATTGGAATGAAGGTGGAAAAAACAAATGAAGGAGAGCAGTAAACAAGAACCACTCAGTGGTGCACTGGCTTCAGTTTTTTCAACTAATTAAAATTACATATATTGGCATTTAAGTATGTTACAATTAGTTAACTTTGATTGCTAGAGAACAATCCAGTCTAACCAAACCTAAATAACTTAAACTAAGAAATTTGATGGAAATTGTATGTGAGGAAATCCTCAAAGAATTTGCAAGGATGGGGCAGTTGCCTAAAGATTTTTATTCTTAATCCCTAGCTATCTTTCCACAAGTGCACAGACAGCACTATCCAATTATCCACTGAACTGCATCATTTCCACTTAACTTTAAGAGTACAGGCACCATACCTCCGACCTACAAAACACTAGCCTGTTAACTGTTTTTCCTAAATTAACTAAGATTGCATGATGGATTTGATCCATGCTAACACTTGAACTACTGCATATCTTTAGACATTTTCTATATTTTTATGTATTAGCTAACTACAGTATTGCTTAATATTGCTACATACAGTGAAACCTCTCATTAACGGAAAATTAGGAGGAAAGGGGTGTACGATATTTCCAATTGTCTGCATCTCCCGAATTATGAAATTAATATTTTCCAGTTGTCTTCTGAAGTAGTGGACTTGGTCTGCAAATGCAGTAGACAACCAGACACTAAGAATACAGGTAGTACCTGTAGTACTATAGTACAGTACTGTATAATTTTATAGTGGTCTACATAATTTATAGTAATTTTACTTACCTTTTCATGGTGTGGAGATGAGGCATAAACTGCCATGACCATGGGCTATTTTCTTGTGCTTTCTAGGTCTAACTGTCGAACCTTTATGACTGCATCTACACTAAACTGAAGAGCTGTAAAGCTGAAAGCTGCAAGTTTGTCCTTGCTTTTATGGATGTCAAACACTGTTGGTTTCTTAATACCATATTCCTTATATTCCTGTGCCTATGAGACAACAGACTCAACCTTCTTTATTAATTTCAGTTTCTCGTTAACACTGAGAACTGCACGTTTCCTCTTGGTATCACCACTTGCTTCAGAAGCCATTGTTAATTGCAGTTTACATAATATGTTAATAAAGTCACACAAAACACTCTAGATCGAGGGAAAATTAGAGACTGAATGACGAGTGTATGAGTGAGTGACCACAAACAGTAATCCAGCACAGGTGGCCTATGGCTCAAGGAACAGTGAAAATGGACAGGTCTTGCACATGGCCACTTTGGCCTGTACTGGACAAATGTCAGTTAGCAGACTTGTCCAGACAACTGGATACTAATGATACAGACAAAATGAGAAATTATGAGCATTTGTCCCCATTGCCTGATAATATAATTAGTATGTTTATCCGGCCATTTTTTTTTTTTGTCCGAAATTCATTAATGAGAGGTTTTACTGCATTATTATTATAATAATGATAATTATTATTATTATTATTATACAGTAAGGCCCCGCTTTTCAGCGTTTCACCTTATGACGTTCCGCTAATACAGCGATCTCAAATTATGACCAAAATTTTCTATATGGCAAGTGGTCTTTCAAATACAGCGCGGGCCACCCGGTTCGTTTACATTCTTCATGAGCACATCTCTCTATTATGTAATAATAATCACTCTTGGGCACATAAAATGTTTAATTTTACGTCAATATAGACATTTTCATTAATCCATCTATGATATTTTCTTCAAAATTATATAAGAAACACATTACATAGCATATAAACATGCTGTTTATATGCTATGGAGGTGTGGTTGCCGGGTGGAGGGAAAACATTACGTAATACTAATAATAATCACTCTTGGGCACATTAAATATCTTATTTTATGTTAATATAGACATTTTCATTAATCCATCTATTATATTTTCTTCAGAATTATATAACAAACACGTTATATAACATATAAACATTTTGTTTAAATACTATGGAGATGTGGTAGCCAGGCAGAGGGAAAACATTACATCACTCCCCTTAATACATAACCCTTTCATTTACAATTCTCAGCTTGAATTATTCATTACTTCTCCCTTTGTTTATGATGGCATCTAAAGGTAATTGTTAGAAACGATTAAACTCAGTGAACAAGGTATGTCGATGGTAATAATATGGCTCTGGGCCACATTAAATATTGTGTAGGTATGTAGCCCAGGCAGATTACATACCTACATTATTATTATAACTGATAATTATACGTATGTGTACCTGTATCTAAGTAAACTTACACACTGTGCTGGCATGCAGGTACACATTAAAATCACTAGGAGTATCTTATTAGTCTTGAAGATGCCATATTAATGATGATGATTTTTTTTTTTTCAACAAGTCGGCCGTCTCCCACCGAGGCAGGGTGACCCAAAAAGAAAGAAAATCCCCAAAAAGAAAATACTTTCATCATTCAACACTTTCACCTCACTCACACATAATCACTGTTTTTGCAGAGGTGCCCAGAATACAACAGTTTGGAAGTATATACATATAAAAATACACAATATATCCCTCCAAACTGCCAATATCCCAAACCCATCCTTTAGAGTGCAGGCATTGTACTTCCCATTTCCAGGACTCGAGTCCGGTTATACAAAATAACCGGTTTCCCAGAATCCCTTCACTAAATATTACCCTGCTCACACTCCAACAGCTCGTCAAGTCCCAAATACCATTCATCTCCATTCACTCCTATCTAACATATCATGCACGCTTGCTGGAAGTCCAAACCCCTCGCCCACAACACCTCCTTTACCCCCTCCCTCCAACCTTTTCGAGGACGACCCCTACTCCGCCATCCTTCCCCTACAGATTTATACGCTCTCCATGTCATTCTACTTTGATCCATTCTCTCTAAATGGCCAAACCACCTCAACAAACCCTCTTCAGCCCTCTGACTAATACTTTTATTAACTCCACACCTTTTCCTAATTTCCACACTCCGAATTTTCTGCATAATATTTACACTACACATTGCCTTTAGACAGGACATTTCCACTGCCTCCAACCGCCTCCTCGCTGCAACATTTACAACCCAAGCTTCACACACATAAGTGTGTTGGTACTACTATACTTTCATACATTCCCTTCTTTGCCTCCATAGATAACATTTTTTGCCTCCACATATACCTCAATGTACCGCTCACCTTTTTTCCTTCTTAAATTCTGTGATTAACCTCATCCTTCATAAATCCATCCGTTGACACGTCAACTCCCAAATATCTGAAAACATTCACTTCTTCCATACTCCTCCTCCCCAATTTGATATCCAATTTTTCTTTATCTAAATCATTTGATACCCTCATCACCTTACTCTTTTCTATGTTCACTTTCAACTTTCTACCTTTACACACACTCCCAAATTCGTCCACTAACCTTTGCAATTTTTCTTTAGCATCTCCCATAAGCACAGTATCATCAGCAAAAAGTAACTGTGTCACTTCCCATTTTGTATTTAATTCCCCATAATTTAATCCCACCCCTCTCCTGAACACCCTAGCATTTACTTCTTTTACAACCCATCTATAAATATATTAAATAACCATGGTGACATTACACATCCCTGTCTAAGACCTACTTTCACTGGGAAGTAGTCTCCCTCTCTTCTACACACCTTAACCTGAGCCTCACTATCCTCATAAAAACTCTTTACAGCATTTAGTATCTTACCACCTATTCCATATACTTGCAACATCTGCCACAGTGCTCCCCTATCCACTCTTATCATATGCCTTTTCTAAATCCATAAATACAATAAAAACTTCCCTACCTTTATCTAAATACTGTTCACATGCGTATATGCTTCAATGTAAACACTTGATCTACACATCCCCTACCTCCTCTAAAACTTCCTTGCTCATCTGCAATTCTACATTCCGTCTTACGTCTAATTCTTTCAATAATAACCCTACCGTACACTTTTCCTGGTATACTGGTATAATAATAATAATCTTTCAACACACTGGTCATATCCCACTGAGGCAGGGTGGCCCAAAAAGAAAAACGAAAGTTTTTCCTTTTACATTTAGTAACATATACAGGAGAAGGGGTTAGAGCCCCTTGCTCCTAGCATTTTAGTCGCCTCTTACAACACGCATGGCTTACGAAGGAAGAATTCTGTTCCACTTCCCCATTTAGGTTAGAGGAAATAAACAAGAACAAGAACTAGAAAGAAAATAGAAGAAAACCCAGAGGGGTGAGTATATATATGCTTGTACATGTATGTGTAGTGTGACCTAAGTGTAAGTAGAAGTAGCAAGACGTACTTGAAATCCTGCATGTTAATGAGACAGAAAAAAAGACACCAGCAATCCTACCATCATGTAAAACAATTACATGCTTTCGTTTTACACTCACTTGGCAGGACGGTAGTACTTCCCTGGGTGGTTGCTGTCTACCAACCTACTACCTAGGAATAATAATAATAACAACACAATAATAATCACTCTAAGGAGCATTAAATATTGTATAAAACATTAATATAGACATTTTGCTTAATCCATCTACATACACCCCACAGTAGAATTAACATAAATATGAGATGTGGCAGTTTGGAGGGATATGTTGTGTATCTTTATATGTGTATGCTTCTAAACTGTTGTATTCTGAGCACCTCTGCAAAAACAGTGATAATGTGTGAGTGTGGTGAAAGTGTTGAATGATGATGAAAGTATTTTCTTTTTGGGGATTTTCTTTCTTTTTTGGGTCACCCTGCCTCGGTGGGAGACGGCCGACTTGTTAAAAAAAAAAAAAAAAAAAAAAAAAAAAAAGAGATGTGGTAGCCAGGTGACTTGTAGGACTTGTGGTAGCCAGGCATCTTGTAGGATTTGTGGTAGGCAGGCAGCTTGTAGAACTTGTGGTAGCCAGGCAACTTGTAAGACTTGTGGTAGTCAGGCAACTTGTAGGACTTGTGACGAAAACCAGACGCATTCATCTGGTTTGTTTACATTATATGTGGGCGGGTGGGGTGGCGAGGGCTGCCCTTCCTGGCTACCCCATACTTCCCAACCTGACTTCATACAAATAAAACTCACCTCTCCCCCTACATTAAGACTACAAATGTTTTAAGGTAATTAATGAGTATACTATACATGTGTATATGCATTTTATCACTCTAGGGAGCTTAATGTCATAGTAGGTATAAGTGGCCAGGGAGGATGCCTTACCTCCCACACGACTTTCTACAAATAAATACTTTTCACCTCTCACCCTACATTAAGACTACAAATATTTTAAGGTAAGTAATGCGTGTACTGTATATGCATTTTATCGCTCTAGGGAGCTTTAAGCATTGTAGTATAGTATGTGTGGGTGGGGTGGCCAGGAGGGCTACCACACCTGACTTTTTAGAGTAAATACTACTCACCTTTTGCCCTACATTAACACTACAAATATTTTGAGGTAAATATTGAGTGTACTGTGTGTGTATTTTACTTTTTAATGCCTAGTTCTATTGCTAACTTAAAATATGTTAATGTAAACTTGTTATCTGGTATTTATATGCATTTATAAATGGAAAAAAATGGAGTTCTGCTTTCCGGCGAAGTCTGCTTTCTGGCAATAGCCTGGAACCTAACCTGCCAAATAAGTGGAGCCCTACTGTAATTATTATTATTATGGATCATACAACACCTGGGGAATCGAAAGTTATTAGGTTTAATTCACGGAAGGGAAGGTGAGATCTGATTCCCTGGATGAGAAGCCCCTTCTGGCATCAGGGAACCTTCCTTGAGGGAGTATTTATGTAAATAAATGAGCGCAAATAAGAGGAATGAGTCTGCAAATTAAAACAGTACAATAGAGAGCACAAAGTTGTTATTTCTTTAAGTACTGCAAACAGAACACTGTGACTGATCAAGTGCTTTGCTGGATTGGTCCATTGCTAGCGCACTCGGCTCACACACAGGTCTGGGGGTTGATCCCCCAATACGGGTGGAAACATTAGAATGTGTTTTCTCAAGACACCTGTGTTGAATAGGTACCCGAGTGGTGTAGGTCACATCCTGGGATGAAATTTACCTAATTTGCCCGAAATGATCTGCATAATAAGGGGCTTTCTATATAATAGTATGTCATTGATGTCAGCTAGGCCTGTATACCTTGTACATGTACTTGTAAAAATAAAGATTATTATTATTGCCAATCTGCCATTTAGTGGCAGCCAAAAGTGATCCTGGCACATTCCTGGGTCATTTGTAGGGAACAAGGGTAAACAGCACAAGTGGGCTACTTTGTTTACCATGGAGCTTCCTGAACAGGAGGTCCCTTTGATGCTAAGGTTCACTCATGCTGGTACAAAAAACAAAAGCTTATTTCCACAAGATACATGGTTTTACAAGATTCAATGACATTTGGTAGTATGCATGGAAATCCACGGTTATCTTTACCTCAGATGTCCAACTCTCCACAACAAAGCAGCCCAACAGGTAACCCCTCCAGTGATTGAAGTAGTTGATCCATACAGAACTTCTACAATGGCATTTATTAGTTTGTATCCTTACTGGCAGTTAAAATGGTAGGATAGATTGTACACACCATTCCTATTAGAGGGTGCTTGCCAATGGTACATGCTGGGTAAAACGTGTGTGAAATCCCTGCTATTGTGCAACAATATTGGTGCCACAGGGATACTTGAAGGACACTTCTGTTGGTCAGTGTTCCCACAGCTCGGTCACAGACCAGGCTTTCCGCCATGGACCAGGGAGTTAAAAGATAATGCATAGCTTACTGTTATTTTATAAACATCATTATTATTATTGAATTTAGGGAAAAGTGCCAAACGTGCAGCGATCATACAGTGCCTAGGGAATGGAAGGCAGTCAAACTCAATCCTAGGAAAGGGATGACAGATCCAATTCCTTGGATCAAGAGCCCTCACCAGCTTCAGGGAACCTCTATTGAAGAAATACCTTATTCATAAAAGCATTAAACCAATATGGGTCATTCATCATGCCTTTACAGGTACAGTATAGAAGTAAAGTGTACAAATAATGTATCCTGTAGAAGAGACAGTAAGGTCAAAAAGAGTGACATGAAACACTGGATATTTAAAGTAAATGATGTAAATAATTTTTTTTGACTAATGATATTATCTCATACAGAACGTTCTTCACGACATTTCAGATCATTGCCTGAAATGCTCATGTATGCTAGTGGCTTTCTTTGTGCATAACACTATTTTACATGTAAACTACACATTGTATACTAGGCAAAGAAATAAAATTTTGAATCATCACATTTTGGGGAAGTGCTAAACCCATAGGGGTCATCCAGTTCCAAGGAAAAAGAGAATTCACAAATTTGCTTATTAAGACATTATAATTTAAATCCTGTATATTTTAATATATTCAGTACAACAGAACTGTCTTTCACTAGTCCATTCTTTCTTTCCTTCCCCTTACTGATTCTCTTATCCTCCAAAATTGGGATCTTTCTCATTCTTTGTTGGTAAGGTTTTTGTTTCTCTTTGGTCACTACTATTCACATTTTTCTCTCATGGAACATCTTTTTCAATTGTTTTTCCTCAAACAGGCTAGTTCTCATGTGTCTGGTCTCTTTACCCAAGAACCTTCAAACTGTATCATAATATTATCTTCAAACTTAATAGGTATAACTGTATTTTGAGGAGTACATATTAGTGATTGTGTATGATTGGATAGTTTCCTCTTTAAATGTTTTAACTTTTATTTTTTGTTTGGACAGAGTGGTACAATATTATCGTTTTCCAAAATCTGACTTCAGATTGGATCTTTTTCCATTTTCTTCAAGTATTCCATTTTTAGGAGTGTATTTGATATCATTTGTTGGTACGGGTTGACCATGACTAATCCAGCATCATCGGGACCTGTCAGGTGCCGGATTAGTGATTTTGCCAGATTACAGAGTGATTAGGTTAGAATACACTTAACACAATGGCAATATTGATGCATTGGGAATTTCACTCACTTTACTCCCTATTTTTGGGCCATTCCATTGTTCCAGTCTACCAAACTCATAGCTTTTTCGCTAGTATTCCTTCAGTTCTGTCAATTGAGTACAAGAAACCACTCAATTACCTATTTCAGCTATCCACTAGTGGCCAGAATTCAGTAATTTGGCCAATTTCACATAAATTTCTAGAGATGCCAATTTCAAAATAGGGTCCAGAATAAATAATGCAGATATTCCTGGCACTAAAATAACATTTTCTCTCTTCATTAGTAACGTCTCCAGGCCCCTCTTATATTACATTTGCTCTCCATTTTGAATTTTCATTCACACAAAAAATAGAAGATTTACTGTTATGCATTATTGTAATAATTGTGTAAATAATGTCAACTCATTCGTGACTGTGTATTAGATTGGCAAGTTGGATATGTATTGGATGGCGACATCATTTGTTTACTCTTGAACATCAGCAAAAATCGAACATTTCTGCTGCTTTGAGCTCAATTTAAGGTACTTTCCAGAATGAAACCAATCAGAATTATATCTATTTCTATAATATATCTTCTATTCCATCAACTCAGACCAGAAGAAACGAGAATACATCCATTCAGACCACTTGAAAATGCACCGCAATGTCACTGTTTTACATCAAAAGCACAGTTGCCATTTTTGCTCATTATGCAGTGTGTGCTGCAGGATTTTTTTATATAGTGCACACTTACCACATAGACTTAGTCTCTCATATGTAGGCCCAAATTTATCAGTCACAGCTTATCTGAGCTCATGGCGGCCGACAGTGGCTTCAAAGCCACTTTATCTTTTATAGGTAATGTACAGTGTACATATGTGCTTTACACAATGAGAAGCATTTCTTTTATTCGTTGGAACCATGGCTAGGGCTAAAAGTGAGAAAATGGAGAAAAAGAAATTGGAATGACTTACGCAGCACATAGCACCACCAGCTTGCATGCAGCCAGCAGTAACAGCCTGGTTGATCAGACCCTGATCCACCATGAGACCTGGTCTCAGACTGGGCTGCAGGGCCCCTGACCCCCAAAACCCTCTCCAGGTCTCCAGGTAAACCAAACAGTAGCAGCTGGTTGGTGGGGCAACCCCGGAAATTTGAAATTATGCTAGCCAAAATTAGTGCCGGATTACTGATGGAACTGATGGAGCCAGATTACTGATTGCCGGACAAGTGATGGCCAACTTGTATTGACAAAATTTTTGATTTGTCAAGTTTCTAAGGTAAATCATATTTTTCTAAAACTTCTGTTAAAGAGCTCTTTCTTTTCAGCTTCTTCCTATTTTTGCCTTTCTTTTCCTCACCACTTATATTAATCATGGGCACCTTTCTCCTCTCATAGCATTTTTTATTCAAAATTAAGCCACTGATAATGCCTGTGATTTTTAGTACCCAAAATTTTTCACGATTCTTCATTAGCTTGACACTGTGATTCCTGTGTGTTCTCCTCCTGGCTGCTATTAGTTTCATTTATATTACGCAAATATAAAAATTTAGCATAATATTTTTGCACATCCCAATTCTGCAGGAAAAAATTATTTGAAAAAGTACATTCAGTACCATATGAAAAATTACAGTTAGTAAAGAAGAAAGGGTCCCACTCACAAAAAACAAAAATTAAATTAAAAAAATATAAATGACCCTGTAAAATTAAATAAAGTACATACTAGACTGTATTGATGCAAAGTATTTATGTAAGCTTATAATACACAGAGCTATTTAAATTATATGCATATTGATAATGCTGGTCTACAGCTGCAGTGCTTTGGAAATAAAACTAGTCATTTCTTGCTACAGCAATTTTAAGTCACTGATTGCAGAAATGATGCTTAAAATTGCAAATTGGCTGGTTGCTATTAGCCTTGACTTGGGGAAGGAGGGAAGAGGGTATATAAACTGTACAGATAAAAGGCTCGTGATTCAAACCCAATACACATAATTGTTTAAATAATACATACAATTTCCTATATTTCTCATCAGTAACATTGGGACATTGTTTTTTGTGTTGCTAAAGCATGACTGTAACTGCTGTGATTAGGAAACCCTTTCACCTTTATTTTGGCTGTAAGACAAGATTAGGCCAAGAGCTGAACCCTGCACACATACTGCAATACCTGTTCAACAAACCTTTGCCAATGGTTCAATTGAAAAAGGAAATCTATACTTTTTGCAGTGCCAATACTGTGAAGGGAGCCAACATATCATGTAAGTGATTGTAACTTCTGGATGGTGCTTCCAGTCAGGGAAGGCATTTGCAAGATAAAAAGGTGAACTGTAGGGTGCCGTAAGGGGAAGGGGTGCCCCAGGGTGACACTTAAGCGGTGACACCATAGAGCCTCTAAAGAAGGTAACACTAATGCCCAAAACCATGCTGCAACAACATAAGAATCCTTCGTTTCTATGTAGCCTATTATATGATTACAGAGTACAAATAGGTCTATATAGGGAAAATCATTGATTTTGATGGTGATAGATGATTTTGCAGGATTGAAGGCAAGGAGATGTAAGATCAGATTCATTGAGATGTTACCTGTACTTAAGGTCAAATTGGAACCAGGGTTTTTCTTTATTTTTCATGTTTTTTTTTTCATTGTTGAAGATGAATAAATGTAGGATCTGTTGCCTGTACTCAAAGTGGTATTTGAATTTGTTTAATCAATATTACTATGATTTTTTATTTTATAATTAATAAAGTTCGGTTTATGGCCCTTAAACGTTCTCATTGCTAAACATTAGTCACTGGGCATTCAGTAGTGACGTAACTGGAGTTTACTCCCCCCATCCCCCCTGCCCTTGGATTTCAGGGGGTGACACCAAAGATGTTGCTCCGGGTGACACCAAAAGATTCCTGCCCTGGGTGACACCAACCCTAGTGATGCCACTGGTGAACTGTACAATATTCAAATACAACAGGACCCCCATTTCCACAGGAGGGATACATTCCAAGGACCTGCCATGGATACTGAAACCGTGAATAGTAGCAAACCCTTTAAGGCCTATACATACCTATTATAAAGTTTAATTAATAAATTATGCAAAATAAATGGAAAATTATCACTTTTTCACTGATGGGAAGCACTTCATGGCTTCTCTTAGGCTTTGAAGAACTGCCAGCTTTTCTACTTTTGTGTCTTGGGGCCATTATTATGCAAAATTAAGAGGTATTTTTGGGCCACAGTAAACCACTGATAACTGAAACCGCGGCCAGCGAATCAGTGGATACAGGGGTTCTACTGTATACACTACTATATGCATTGTACCTCATGGCAAATAACTACCCATCCTGAGCCCCTGAACTCATTCTCCTTTGAATCAGAGATAAGATACGAGGATAGCAAAACAAGCGAAATTTGGAAGTCTTCAATTTCGTAAGACTCTGAATGTGTTTATGACATCTAAACTGTACATAATTCAGAATGAATTAAATGACCTTATCAGATACTGTTTAGAACTACCAGAGAGTAAGGTAGAACTGCTGGGCTCCAGATTGCAGCAGTGGACTCTGCAGAGCAGTCAGTAATGTATATTTCCACCAGGACATCGCAGTCATGGAGAAATGCTACCAGGAAAAATGGAGTCCATCATTGTTAGCAGATTAGTGATGGACAATAACAAGAGATGCTCCAGATGTGGAATACAAGAGACAAGCATGCATGTGAGCCCTGCTTATACAGTAGATTAGGTTCTGGGCTACTGATGTAAAGCAAAAACTACTGAAAAGTACATCACATTGCCTGGCTGGTTCTGAACTGCTGTAATGTCATTTCAGGTAAAATTAACTGCACATATGAATTTCTGCATTACTTTTTTAACAAGACTCTTATATGTGAGTATTTCAGTGCTGATGAGGGAAACCTCATCAGCATAATTTCCCCTTGAATCAAACTTGATTACCTTGTATTCCCCAGATGCTGTATGACTCCTACAGGTTTAGCACTTCACAATGAATATAATAATTTCTAAATAAGATCGGTAGATATATGAAAATTTATTATGAAATATGTTGAGCTAGGCGTGGCCAATGAGGCCATAATTATTTTCAACACATAGTTGTTGTATTGTAAAATAATTAAGAATGAGCACAGCAACAGGCCTACTGGCCTATGCTAGGCAGGTCCAAGTCACCTACTGGCCTAAGCCAGTCAGGTCCAACTCACTCCCACCTACACCCACTCAGGTATTTGTCTGACCTACTTTTAAAACGACACGTTTTAACTTCAGTGATGATACTCGGGAGTTTGTTCAACTCATCCAAAATTATTACCAAAACTATATAGTTCTTTATTATTATGTTTATACATGTTATATAGATATATTGAATTATTATAATCAAGGGACACGCTTAAACCGAGGTTATCAGTGCCACATGTATATAGAATACCCAAAAGTCAGGAAAAGATTTTAATTTAAATTTATTTCTAATTTTTCATTTTGGATAAAGAATTGCAAACCATGTATTCATCACAGCTTTTATGATCCAGTTCATCCCTGTCTGCATCATCAAATCTACACAATGCAAGCACACCAAAAATAAAATTATTGGTTCATGAGTGTATTTATTCCTCCATTGAACACAGACGCACACTCCAAACCCTGTATTGGTTTGAGAGTCTTCCATATCTTGAGCTTGCTTGTGGACAGGTTTCAATGTGCTTGTCTCAATAAGGCAGTTGCTGTTGGCACCTGCTGCCCTCACATCCACACAGCCTGGTTGATCTGGCTATGATTTTTTACAGGTTCATTTACATTTCCTGCACACCTCTCAACTGTATGTTTGCACGGGGTGTTAAAAATAAATAATAAAATATTTATTTCTCTGCTAAGGTTACAATGTGTTTACATAATATGATTGAAGCAAAGAAAGCCGCTCTCGGTTCACACGGTGAGGGTCTGGGTTCGGTTCCCAGCCAGAGTAGAAACATTGGACGTGTTTCTTTCCACCTGTTGTCTATGTTCCCCATCAGTAAAATGGGTACCTGGGTGTTAGTCGACTGGTGTGGGTCGCATCCTGGGACACTGACCTAATTTGCCCGAAATGCAGAGCATAACAAGGGAGTTTCTATATACATGTAGTAGTATGTCATTGTTGTCAGCTAGGACTGTATACCTTGTACATGTACTTGTAGTAAATAAAGATATTATTATTATTTTTATTATAATAATACTTATAGACTACTTAAGTCTAGACAGGTGAAGACTGGTAGAATATGTAGTCAATATTCACTCTATTGTTAATATGAGGTAATACAATTTATGATACAATCTTACATTTTTAAGTACATAATTAAGTTCTTTTACAGTGGCAGAATACAAATATTCTATATTTCACTTTATTATTAATATGAGGTAGTACAATTTATGATACAATCAATTACGTATACATTTTTAAGTTTATAATGGGGACTAAACTCTTCAGCATTTTCCACTTACATATTATCATGTCTATCCTCTGCTCCAGACAGTACATATTCGGTATTCTTTGCAATTCTCACTATGACCCTTGTAGGTTTAGCACTTATTTTTTATTGTAATAATAGTTTGATTAGACATTCTCAGTAGTTTAAATGAGTTATTGGCTCTCCATCCTAAGGACCACAATGGAAATAGGTCACTCTGGCTTTTTTGGGTTATCCTGGGTAATGTACACATATGCTGCTATGTATGATGACCTATATAATTGTATTTATGTGTCCCCTCAAGTTAGGTTCCTTGATGTTGGTGAGGGGCTCTTGATTTAGGGAATTGGATCTGTGCTCCAGTTTCCCAAATTAAGCCTGAATGCCTTCCACATCCCCCCCCCCCAGGCGCTGTATAATCCTCCGGGTTTAGCGCTTCCCCCTTGATTGTAATAATAATAATAATGTATTTATGTGTACTTGTACCTGAATAAGAACTTACTTGGCGTAAATGGAGCTGTCAGCGCTGAACAGCACTAGCGATGTATGACCCTTATGGTTTTTGTGCTTACTTATATTTATAAAAATAAGTTGAACGGCATTATGACAACACAAGTGATCTGAACAGCGTCACCATGGGCAATATTTCTTGCTTTGAAAGTTATTGTCCACCACGTTATTTTCTAGCATTTGCCTCATCGAATTCTCGTTAGCGGTAAGTCAGACTGGATAAGGATGTTATCTGGTCTACAGTTGTCTCTGGCAAGAAGCAATTCTTTTAGTTTTTCATTGTACCGAACTTGCACACGAAAATCACTCACAACGAAAGCAAAAGACTTGGCAGACGATGCACCATCCCCCCAATGAAAAGCAGGGGTGTCACTAGCACGTTAAGAGACCATACAATAAGTGTCAGGGGCCCGAGACTGTTCAACTGCCTCTCAGCATACATGAGGGGGATTACCAATAGACCCCTGGCAGTCTTCAAGCTGGCACTGGACAAGCACCTAAAGTCGTTACCTGACCAGCCGGGCTGTGGCTCGTACGTTGGTTTGCGTGCAGCCAGCATTAACAGCCTGGTTGATCAGGCTCTGATCCACCAGGAGGCCTGGTCACAGACCGGGCCGCGGGGGCGTTGACCCCCGGAAATCTCTCCAGGTAAACTCCAGGTACAGTAGTAGGCTCGATTATAATATATAATATATAATCCAGGTAAACCAGGTACGTAGGTGTGGGAGCGGGGCCAGGAGCTATGAATCAACCCCTACAACCACAATTAGATAAGTACACAGACAACGAGACTGCTCACTATAACTTATTGTTTTAAATATAAAATACTAAGATATATATGTTTTCTTACCTAAACTAATTATTTTCTT